TTATCAAACAATGAGCATCAGAATAAATTACTTGTATTCTGAAACCCAGATAATTCAACTGGCTAAACAAGGAGAATTATTTGAAATTAAGCAAAGGACTGGAATTTGTCTACCATAGGGTGCCACAGGATGCACTTTTTAAATATCAGGGCATCCAGGACATTTTCGTATGTCATCTGAGATCTTAAAAATGTGACATAAGAAGTAAGCTTCCATCTTAGCAGTCAGCAACCAGAAACTATCTAAGAATTTTCACTGCCTTTAGAAGACTGTTGTAACAATTATTCATGTTGATTTCTGGAACTGAAATGTGAACGCTTTGCAAAATGTAAAACAAAAAAAATGTTATTTCACCTACTTGCCCTTTAAGGGTGACAGAGATGGGCTTTTATTTCTGCAGTGGTGCATGATGAGGTGTCCATACAGAAAACTAGGGGTACAGTAGAAATACTCACTCAGAAACCTCACAGACTGGTGTCTTTGGGTATTGCCTATGAAGTGTAACTTTAAAAAGACAGAAAAACGTGAAGGAATTACATATAATTCCAGTCAGTCTGGTAAGATGAGCAACAGCATGTAAGTTGGGTCGTTATCTCAAAACTTCGGCATTTATAAACACTAGGTTTCAGAAACAATACTCAATGTAAAATCTGACATAACTTACATCTGTATGAAAGTGTTTAAATAATTTTGAACTGACACATTCCTAATAATTCCCAGCCATGTTTGTTTGGAAACAATTAAACAAAACTCGTTTAAAAAATAATCTGTTGATGCATTTTCTTCATCTCTTCCAACTAATAATTCAACTCCAGAAGTTTCACCACAGTTTTTATAATGTATGCTTTTTTTTCACCTGGGTCATTTCTTACCCATGTGAAAGTTATATCTCACTTTTTGCCTTCAACAGTTTGAAAACTTTAGAGAAATCATTAATATTAAGAAGAATGCCAAAGACGATAGTTTTCTCATCTTGTCTTTGTTTCTCTTTTCCTCTGGGCCACATAAGGATGTTCAAGTCAGCAGAGACAGTGTTGCTCTTTAAAAAACTTGCTGATTTAATATTTAGTAGGTGATGGATTCCACCTCAACAATCAGACTCAGGAATAAAAATAGTCTGAATCCCACTCAGTGCCATCCACAAATCCATAGATAGAAACCCAAAGAATTGTACAGCACAACATTTCCTGCTCAGTAAGCTAGAGACAAGCTGCTGTGATTCCCTATATATACACATATATTCTGAGCTGATGCCTGTCAAACCAGCCTCTGGTTAAGTGGCAAGCATAATATAGCTTCCTTTCCCTAGAGGTAACTGTCCTCATTACTGAAGCGAATGAACCCCTAGGTGTATAATAGAATCTTCTTTAAAATATTCATCATATGACAGCTGATATTTCAGCCATATTTGGCTGGAATGCTACATTTTGGGAAATTTAGGACTCCATAATCAATTAACCTAGCATTTTGCTTGCCATCTAATTTTTTTTTTTATCATAAATCATTAAACATTTATGTTAGCATGTAAGTTGTTATTCTCCTATTCAGGACTGAGCAAGACAAGCAGACCAGGGTTTCTCTTACAGCAATATCCATTAAAACACCTGGACTAGCAAGGCTGAAACTTAACACTTTCCCTCAGCCAAAAAACACCAACTTCTCCAAGATGAGTCACATCATCCAGCGTGGTTCTGTTTCCTTCACACTTCAGAATCAACACTTCAGGCTGTGAAAAGCTCCCTCTGCCAGCAGCTCTCAGGAAGATGGTGGGCATGCGGGGGGAATAACACCAGGGCCAGAATACTCCACCAGAAATCAGAACAAAGAATCTGTGTAGGGAGAGAAAGAGACAAATACAGCAGCAGGCTATTCAGCCCAAACATTTCCATTCTCAGACACCAAAAAATAGTTTTCTTTTTGCCTCTCTATTCTTACTTCTTTCTTAAAGCAAATACGGTATTTTTCCCTGCCTACTCTTCCTATTTTTTGACTACCTCTTCTTAATTACAGCCACAAACTTCTGTAGGTTCTATTCCACCTGCCCTTCCACTGTATCACCTCCCACCACGAGTACCTGCTGCCTCTTCAATTTAACCTTCCACAACCCTTCCCTGCCCTGTTCCATGCACAGCATGTAAGGCAGGTCCACAAGTGAGCCCCACCAGTGCAGAGGGAGAACGTCAGCGACATGCAAGGCTGCACAGGAAGTTTACACTGCACTTGCCCAAACTTTGCAAGCCTTCCTGACACCAACACAGCATTCCAGCACACCAGCATCATTTCTGAGTGATTTCTCATGTGATTAGGGCTGTCCCTCCATTTCCACAGGATACTCAGACGCTGGTGGCAAAAAATCATTCTTACTCTCATCAGGGCTTGTTTGTCATCAGAACCCCTCTTTAATTTTAGTCATTTGCTTAGTTTTAGACTACTGATCTCATTATGCTAGTCTAATTAAAATTATTTGCTGACAAATATTGTCAGTAAAGTAACAGTTGGTTAAATTAACACTGGCTTAGCCTTAGCTTTTTTATCAGCTTAACTATGCAGCACTGATTGATGAGCATTTTAAAGCAGGAATTCCTTTCTTCAGGTCAAAGGCAGAGAAGGAAAAGCTGGAGATTTGAATGTGATACATCAACAAGTCTTACCAAAGAAAGTCAGACATAACTGTGCACAAGTCAAACCAAACTCACCTCTCCACAACTTCCCTGCAAGCTCGGTCATAATAACAAAGATGCATTTGGCCCAACCTGTTAAAACAGCATGAGCAGAGCTTAATATCTTGGTCTAAAATTACTGTTATAAGCAGTATATCTTGTTGTCTGATACTTATTTACTTTTTTGGCATAAATTGAGTATTTCCAGACCACAATTATTCCCACAGACAAAACTTAATTGCAATATTCATCACCGTATATGTCTAAATGATAGGGATGCTGGAGTGTTTTACAGTGAAAACACATCCAATTTTAATGAAGTTCAAAAGAAGAAATGTTTATTTATGGATTAAAGTACACAAAGATCTGCTGCTCACACTTTCTGAAATACTGACAGCTTTTTTTTTTTTTTAAGAGAGAAAGAGAGAGAAGGAGTGCAAGGGAAGGAAAGACTTCACATCTTGTACATAGTTGTGGTGAGTGGATCAATGTTCCCAGCAGACACGCAGAGAGCTACTGGGTCTTTTGACACAAGTTGAGATTAGATGATATACAGCTGAAGTCTGAAGACAAAGTTGCCTCTAAGAGGTTGCCTCTGGTGAAAGGGTGGAGGTGTTGTGCTGATAGCCTATTACAGCTGCAGGGGGATGTCTTGACATGTCTTGAGAAAGACTGCATACTTCTCTGTTTGGGGCTCAGCTTTGCTACTGTTCAAATTAAGTGACATCTTTTTAACACTCCTAAAGTTCTGAAGAAAAAAATGAACAGCATCCTGTAAAAATTTATTTTCTATTTAATAGGTACTTAGGAGAAAAAAAAAGCATAACTAAATACCTAAAATTAGCCCTTCTACTGAAGACTTAAATTGAAAACAACTTTAAGAGAAGATGTGAAGGCTTCAGAGTGACATGTAAATATGATTTTCTATAACTTTCATAGAACTATGAAAAAAAATTAAATACAGAGAAAAATTCCATTCTTGGATAAAATTTCCAGAACTCTTTTCCCTACTTGAATTTGCAACCACTGCCTATTGAATGAGAGTTGCTGCTGGTGGTCTTCAGAATGATCCACTAGCTGACAGTCCACAGAAATATTACTAGGGGGAATACCAACCTCCCTGAAATACAGATTCAGCCTGCTTGGAGTCAGATGTTGGGAAAGAAACTAGAAAACTGTGGCTGTGCATAGCCTTGACAGTACTTCACTAAAACAACAAGAACCCAGGTTTGCACAGGCTCTAGAAAGTTAACTGGTGCAAGAAACCTTGATTGTTTTAAAATTAAAAAAAAAAAAAGATTTTCATGGATTCTCTCTTCAGGCCTTCAGACTGGCTGTTCAGGCAATTCAGTTTTGGGATCAGTGTAAATGGGAAAAGGAAAATATGACAGACAGGTAATCCTTACTGCTCTGAAAACCACTGCTAACACTGACATGCTGTCAAACCATCCAAAGACAAGAAAAGATACAATCTGTTCCCATTATTACAGTCTAAATCTTTATGGATTCAACAACAGGAAAACAGTAAGTCCAGAGTTCAGCCTCAGCTTACATTTCAGGGACAGAGAAAGAAAAAAAAATACAAATAACTTGTGCTAAGCCAGCTAACAGCATGCTGCTCCAATACTCTGCCTCAGGCCATGCAGCCTCAGCTGCACCATCTGCCCTGGAAAGACTCCAGGGAGGAAGGAGCAGCTGAGAGTGCAACAAGTCAAGAATCCAGTATAACCATGACTGTTCTGTGCTATGAGTTCACCTGAAACCTCACCTCCCTGGATCCTGTTCTCGGACACCTACTTTCTTAAATTGTTATTTTTCATGCGTCCTCCTCTATTCAGCTGCCTTAATTACTTGTTTCTCTATAAATGCTGGCTTCTTATGCCTTTCCACTGTGTAACCTTCTCCCTGAATTCACAAGAGACAGCATCCTGGGTAACAGACACAGCAAAATGCCATTTACAATGGAAGTATTAGGTACCAGGAATAAAACACAGGATGAGATTGCTTTTAAGAGCAGTAAAATCCCTTCCAAAATCTTGTGACATCAATTATCAGAAATAGAAATAAAATGTATTTCCTATTTTCAGCAGCAAAATTCCCATTGATTTTAACACTGCAGGATATGTCCCTGTGCACTGAAACAAATCATCTGTATATGAATGCAGTCAGGAAGAAGTGGCCTCCAGCAAAGCAATTTTTTATCTTTTGGTTCTGAGGAGTAACAGTAAAAAGGTCTGTCCCTTCAGTCTGTATCTGTGAAGTCACCCACAAAGAGATGTAACATTCTGGATCACACTCTTTTGTTTCCCCTTTCTTTGACATCTTACCATGCTTCCCATTTTGTTTATAAATTTCTCTTTTATTCTTGACATGCAAAAGTTAGTGACTTCATATGAGGCCATAATGCAATGGCTTGTCCTTTCTAAAGGTAGACAGTGTTAGCAAAGGAATAAAATCCAATAGTCTCCTAGAGGAAAGAAAAAGAAGGCAGTATGAATCATCTACAGACTTCATGTGAAAACTCCATTTTGGCTAGCAGATCAGAGAGCAGACTGGGGATATTTAAGTGCAAGTCTACAAATTCAGCTGGAGAATGTGACTATTGTGCTGGCAGTGCAACAAGACACACTCCCTTTTGCAACTCTCATTCACAAGAGAAAAAGCACAAGGAAGAATGACTCGTGAGCTGCCCTGCCTCAACCTGGGCAGAGGAGCTGCAGCTGTCTCCTTGTTACACACTGTACACCCTAAAACCCCTTCTACTGACTTCAGAGTCAGCAATTCCCACGGGGCATCTCCACATCAGACTAGAAGATGCTCCTGGCAGTGCAGAGACTCTTCTCCAAAAATCCCTCCACGCTCCTGCAGGTGTACACAGGTCTGTGTGACAGGGAAGGAACCCTCATACTGAGGGATGACTGTATGTCTGAAATATTTTGCTATTGTCTTCATTACACCAATATCAAATCTTAAATTGCCTTTAGCAGGAGCAGGGTAGGAACCTTGCATGGCATCACATGAGTTGCTGAATGGAAAATGCACATTACCTGGAAACTGCCTTCAAAACTCATTTTAAAGAGAGACTTTGGAAAAGTCTGACATTTTCATCTTTGCAGATGGATTAAAAAAGATAACTGCAAATAATTTAGAAAACTGCTTATGTTTTTTACATGCATTTACATTATTTTCTGCTTTTCAACACCGAAATCCTGATTTTTTCCACTGGCCTTACTGTTATGCAGGCAAGCACTCTCTGCTGCTAACTCTTCATATTCCTGAGGTAAAGGCAAGACCTGTTCTTACTTGTTGAAAATTAGCATAGAGCAAAATTTAATTATCAGAAAAGTACACATTACATAGGCAACTGTAAAGAGTTCAGTGCTTAGGATTTTGGAGGAGGTTATTTCTATACTTCACTTACATGAAATGTTTTCTGAAATATTCACATGTATATTTGAATCCATTCTTGGGACCTGGATGTCCAGCAGATGGATTACAAAATCTGACTTGCAGCTCTTTTATTATCAGTGCTTTCTGCTGCCAAATCCATGTCCTCTGACATCTCTGATACAATCCCATCATCACTTCAAGGAATATGAAGTGATACCCAGCAGATTAGCACAGGGTAGAGATGTTCAGACCTGTTCAAACACTACAGGAGAGGGAGCCAAATGTCCTAGGCCAGAGAAGAATGTAAGGACACATGAATTAGAAGGAATGAGCAAAATGTCCTCTTCACTCACTGCAGTGGGTCCATGTGTGTGTGGGCACATTGCTTCCCTTCATTCACAATCAGTTCACAGACTGAAGCCACCCTTACCTCCTTTCTGCTCCTGGAGAGGGACATGCAGCTACACATGACCTCAATGAACATCAAACATGCTGTGAGGTACAGAAGGGTATCTGTAGGGAAAAAAAAAAAAAGAGGAAGAAAAAAGCAGCATAAATGTACTGTCTCAGGACAGAACAGTTCAGAAGAGCAGTTAGAGGATGCAGATCCAGCCGTTTGCTGTCAGTTCTTACCCAGTGCAGTAAGACTTAACTTACTGCACTGGTCAGTAAGAACCAGGCAGGGAGACTTAATTTTATTCCTTAAAGGCAGAAGACTAGGAGACATTAGGAAAGACCACCAGTATGATTCTGTCCTTATCATAAATGGAGGGGCTTACCAGGCCACTGTTTTCCATAAACACATTTAGAAGTTTGGCACATTTTGCCAGCTGTGTGACCTATTTATATTCCATTGTATTTTTCACAAGGGCAAATGTGCAAAAAACAAACTTCTGCCAATCCGAAAAAAGGCAGTAAGACAGAGCTGTCCTGTGATACTACATGTACTCCTCAGAAAATCCTAGTAGGATGTTCAGAGGCTATAAGGAGGAGACCCATGCTCACAGCATGCTTGCATTCCTCTCCTGGGATCATACCAGAACACTGCAGACTGTGTCTATGATAAGACAGCTTTCCATGCACGGAAAAAACAATGCCAAGGAATCTTTTAAGATAACAGTCTCACCAACTGCAGTCAAGAGCTTGATGAAGACATCTTTCACAAATCAAGTGAAGACCTCTGGAAACAATCCAAAAGAGGATGTTGGGGAGCAAAATACTGCACTAATAAAAAATTGGGTTCCTATGTCCAAATTTTTTATTGCATTTTTGGCTATTTCCATCTGTAACAGCCAAGAAATATGAAGGTACCCTGCATAGAAAGTTATGATAGTTGCTTTACAGAGTGTATCTGAAACTCCCATTTCCCACACTTACATCCTTACCATTGAGATTCACAGTCCCAAATCCTTCCATTAAATTGCTGACCCAAATAATGCATTGCAGTGAGTACAAGCAGTGCAACAAAGTCTGTGCAAGTTTAGATGCAACTAAAAAAGTACATGTATTAGTATGTATCAGATGCTTTTTAACTTATCTAGTCATCTTAAATATACAGCATCAGTCAACTATCTATATTTAAAAAGCAATACTACCCACGATACAAATGGTAGCATCCAGATTATGACAGGCACTGAAATTTGTGATCCAGGTTTCCAGGTTCTTGCAGGTGCAGATCAATACAGTCAGCTAGACACAGCAATGTGGAATATGTCCTTGCCCATGGCAAGGGGGTTGGAACTAGATGGTCTTTTAGGTCCCTTCCAGTTCAGATCATTCTATGATTCTATCAGTAAACTTTCCCTTTCTCAGATGACCTTTTACATCTGTCTATTCCTTTAGGATCTCCTGCTTTTAAGGACCAATTTTATTCTACTTTAGGGACAAACTATTCTTTTCCCTAATGGGAATAATGTGTAGCAACTATTAGTCACCTTTTTAAGAGATGCCCATTCAAAGGCATTTTCCAGAGACTCACATTGATCGCATGAAAAAATATGTTCTGTAGGAAGCTCTGACATATTGCAAATGCACTGAATGCTTGACATTTTTATGATTATGCTAATATTGTGACATTTGATGTGCTTGTTTTTGAATAAACATAGTGCAATTAAGTTCTCTGAAAGAAAACCAAAAAGAAACAGATCAATCACTGAGAAGGCAGGAAGAATGAAAACTGCTTCTACCAGCTTTGGAAACAAATGCCTGCTAGTCAATGGCAAACACATTTGAACTAGATATTTCATGAGATTTGTCAGTTTTACTCTGAAAGAGCACTGATAGGGTGACTTTCAAGTCTTAGTACAAGCAGTGGCTTCACTTTTACCTGTTCCCTCTACCTTTGAAGTATATTAGCATTTGTCATAAAATGACTCCTTCCATCACTGAAAGAATTACAACTCTTAGACTACTATTACTTCCTCTTAGACTGTTTCAAACTGGACAACCCAGTTAGGTCATGGAACCTTGTTTTTAACTTCAGCCCCTTTTAAAGCATGTTGCATGCTTCAATTATATTCCAAATTAAAGTAGGAGAGAGATAAGGTTTATAAATGTCAATACAAATTATTTCATAATTCCTCTCCCTCAACTACAGACCAGATTAACAGGAAGAAACAGAGAACTGAAAGAGGCACGACTGGAAGAGTGTGGTGTTTGATGGCAGGAAGGTTGCATGGATCAGAGCTGTGGAGTCAAGAAGGAAGAGCAGCAGACACTGGAGGAGAACCAAAGGGGGAACCAACGGTATATTTTTGGTACAAAGCCAGAGAAGGCATACAAAATGGCTACAGCTTGATTACAGCAATGTTAGGAAGCAAGATCTATCTCCTCTGCCTATCTATCTCCTTGGAAGCCGTAGCTCTCTGAAAATACTGAAGTAACTTAGTAGCAACTTTGGAGGCAAATTAAAAGAACATTCATAACCTCAGGAACTGTAGACATTTAATCTCTTGTTAAAGACAAATACTGGTCAGATTGAGTTTAATAAATCTAGCTTGATGGATACTCATTATTGATGAAATCAAGAATCAGCTTAATTTCAAGAAATCCAATTCCTTACACAATACATAATCAAGGCAACAGTAGCAAACTTAGGAAAAGTTACCAAAAAAAGGGGGTGTTGATCAAAAAAATTGAACTCATGGTCAATTATTGGCAAATCCCAAGTTAAACTCTGCAAATAGAGTTATAAAGAGGGACAAGCTGGAAAACTGTAGAAGTTTCAGCTCTTTTCCCTGAGACAGTGCAAGGTAACAGATTTAAGTTAAAGAATTGGTCTGAAATTAAAGGGAAGAAATAAAAAAGGATATTCAACGTCAAAAGGAATGAACTGGCAAAACACAAAGCCTAATAAAATAATCCTTTCAGTACACTCAGAGACTCCTACAGCTTTTCTGTTCCTAATAAGATGTGTACACCTAAACTTTATTAATGTTCTCCGTATTTGTCTTTTTTCAGACACATGCACTCTAGGATTAATAATGTAGAGACACTTGACCTACAAAAAGATCTCCTCATATAATTGGCATGGCAACAGATGCAACATATCTTTAATAGAAGTGACAATTAGTGGTACTGCTTCTGCCACCCCTTCAGTATGACATTAACCTTTACTGAATTACTTTCCTACAGCATAATAGTAAACCCAAAGCTTCCCAGATGAAACATCCTTCTCTTGGGATGTTTTAACTTGGAGACACCTCAATATCCCATAGATTTCATTCCTTGGTCTTAGTCTCTTAACAGACACTTTCTCCTTTCGCTGGCTGCAAAGTGTTTGAGCAAGTTGATTCATTAGCCAGTGGTGCTCAGAAGGGAAACAAATCTGGAGGGACACAGTGTTTCTTTCTACTCAACTAAGTGCTTCAAGCAGGTCTACCTCAACATATAAGCCCAACTAGCAGCACGCTGCTTGCCTGCAGGTATGCAGTTAAGACAGAAATATATCCCAAAAGCTTTTAGCTTTTTAAGGCAATTAGATTTTCAGTACCAACCAGTGCCTCAGCTATGTGACCAGCTAAGACTGAACCAGACCAAACACACTACAGCCTATTTAATCCAGCTGGGAACAGTGAATATTTTGTGGGGGTTTTATTTTACCATATTTTAATCCCACAGAGAGTATATGTCTATATCTGAGCTAGTTAATTTAAGCTTTTTTTTTTAAGCTAAAAAAGAAATACAAGTATTTAAAAATGACTCATCTGACCTATTTTTGCTGATCTACAATGAGATTGATCACACCTTAAATTTTGTCAAGTCAAATGACTCAGTCTCTTTCTGACTTGAAAAACAGAGCATAATTATTAGCTCAGAAATTTTGAACATACAATGCAACCTTCTGCTGGCAACAGAGACAAAACACTGCAGGTTACTAGACTCAGTAGGTCCAAATTCTTCTTCCCCTAGCACTGCACTTACACTACTTACCCTACACTGAAGCTACTTCACTTTGTTTTTCAGCACTAAAGAGAACCTTTGGCTTTCTCCATCTTAGCTTCCTTTTATTAGTTTTGTAATGCAGAAAAGTAAAAAGATATTTTGTTTAAATATTTTCTTCAACCCTTATGAATCCAAATCAGAAGTGGAAGTTTGTCTAAGGCATTCACAGCTGAATATCTGGATGTTCTATGTTCTAACAGATACAGAAAAATCCAAATCTGAATCTTGGTTTGAATTCATTTTCCTAACCAAGCTCCACTAGTAGAAATAAACAGGATCTAATGTAGTAGAATATCAGACTTTAGACCCACCCTGAATGATGTAGGTTTTCTAAACCCTGTATTTTTTATACCCTAAGGTTTTTTAAAACCCATACTCACTATAATCAAATCTCATTACCATGTCCACAGCTTTAAATTAAGGTTTACTCAGAATTAAAACAGCTTCTGCCAATTAAATTATTTTAAAGTACAAGTTGAACTAAATAAGGAAAGCATTAAAAAATCAAAAAATAAGCTCACAGATATATATATCTAGATAGATATAGATACATAAACACATTTTTCTTTATCAAAGGGCATTGTGAAAACTAAGCAATAAAGTAGCCATGATTATTATAGCAAACTCAAAGAACTAAAATATAAAATAAGACCAATACTTTCCAAATTCTCCAAGCTTTTGGCTACCTCTACTTTTGCATTGCCAGATGCGAAAATCCAATTCCCTCATTTCAAAGTGCTGAATTCACTACCATGAAAACCAATGACAGCTGGGATTACCCAGCATCTCTGAATATCAGATCCAGAGCCCCACACCTTCTTCCAAATTTAGAAACTCCTTTTGGCAATATTTGCCAAAGTAGTTTCCTATTTTGCTATACAACTCCTTAAACTACACAAGTCAGTTCTTAGGCCAGAGAGATCAAACCTCAGTTCCACCAAACACTGAGGGAGTCCTGACACTAATTACAATGAGGTAAAAATTAGCCTCTGCAGAAATAAGTGGAGGGGGTGTATATGAAGTTATTCATTGCATTTCTTATAAGGACTGAGCCTTATCTTTGAGTCATT